CTCAGAGAGAGACGAGGGGGAGGACGCGGAGCGTTCGATGAAATAGGAGTTTTGCACCCTAACAGGATAGGGCGCTCTGCCTAATTTTAAACACACGTCTACTGATGAGAGATTATTACCATAATCTTAATGCTGAGCATACCCTCTAACCAGATTAATGCAGATTACGTCACAAAATAGAGTCTTCTGCTGTGAGATATTGCGCATGCGCTAACACACTAACGTAGCCAGGATTGTGCTACAGAGGCCAGCCGATTGTGTGCCAGATTGTCAGTGTGCAGATTGCCAGTTATTGGCCAGATTGCCAGATTGGTGTATTGCCAGATTGCCAATTGTACAGTGTCCCAGATTGTGTAGCCAGATTGTGTACTGGCTGGTATATCCGGCAGATCGGCGAGCGCGCGAGCGTCCATCTCGACGATGTATATAGCTACAGAAAATGCGCTAAGTATAAAGTAGCCGATGTTGTCGCCAAGTCAACATCATCAGAGCGGATCTTTCTATGCACATCCTCTCTCGGCCATACCCCTGCCAGTTTGAGTGCGGAATTTCGCCGAAATCGTATTCTCGTGGCCTAGCGCCAAATCGACGAGTGACGCGAGCGCTCATCCGCAGTGTATATTACCACAGAAAAACTTATTATACTATTGTAGCCCATTGTTGCGGCCAAAGTAATATCTTGAAGAGGCGGATCTTTCTGTGCCCTCTCCCTCAGCATACCCATGCCCAGTTTAAGTGCCATAATTTGTATATAAAATACTATTCCTTCTTCGAAAGATATTGCGCATGGCGCCAGAGCACCGCTTCAGGCGTGCGCGTAGCAGGTCTGCTAAGTCATAACCTTGACTCAATTATAGCTCTGCTGGCCCGCGGAGAGAGGGAGGGGAGATCTAAGGAAATGCCAGCAGCGTACGATGAGGCTGCCAGTCGGTCGGTAGACAGCACAGATCAAAGAGCCCTAGCATCGCCGAGGCGGCGCATGGGAGGCTAAGCCTCTCACGTCACTGCGTTACGCCAGTGTGGCCCTACTCTAGACCACGTTCACCAGGAGTTTTTGCACCGATCGTCGTCTTTGCCCCTCTATCTAATCATTATCAAACGTCGACTAATATCTACTCCTATACTCAAGTCGACGCATTATACAAGCTATCTTCACTGCCATCTTGTTTAAGGCCAACGCAGATCGCTTCACCGTGCTCGCCTATCGCTCCTCTCTCTCTCTCTCTCCTCCGCTATTCATCCCTTCTCCTCTCTCCTCTCTGCTCGCTCTCTCTCTCCCTCTCTCGCTCTTCCGTCCCTCCTCCTCCCGTCGCCTCTTCTCTCTCGCTCCTCTCTCTCTCTCTCTCCTCTACTCTTCTCCTCTCCTTCCTTTCCTCATCATCCCTCTCTCCACGATCCGTCCTACGCTGAGCGTACTTTATTCCTGCGTTTGAGCCCAATCACACGCTACGGCGCCGATGACATCTCCGCTGCACGTCGCCTTCCGCCCGGTATTTGTATCTCCGTTCGCTTGGGTGGAGGCTCCATGGCTCCACGCTGTTGGCGTCCGACTGATCACCGGCATGCTTCTACGCGGCCACGCCGAAACGACACTCGGCGGCTCGTGGCTGAGCACAAATTCGAAACCGCCACGCACCGCACGCCACCGCCACGCAACGCACGCACGCACGCATGCACGCACACGCGCCCGCGCACAGGCGTCGGTCTGCGCTGCGCACTGGCCTCACGTAATCCCGTCTGGTGTTTTGGCTGATTTGAGCCACGTTAATAAGTTCTCCCCGTGCTTGGCCTTAAAAAACGCTGCGTTAAATTAGGATGCTTTATTGATCGCATGCCTGCCGTGCGTAAAGTCACAAAATTGCGCAGCAGTCTCTCCTTTCCTTGCTCTCTGCTCTGGCTCTCGCTCTCTCTCTCTCTCTCGCTCTCATCTCTCTCTGTCTCTCATCTGCGTGCTCTCTCTCTTTCTCTCCCCCTTTTTCAGTTTCATCTCTTCACGATCTCCTCTCATCTCTCTCGCTTTATCTTACTTTCACTTTCTCTCTCCCTTCCTCTTCTGCCGACGTGCACTGTACGAGCGGAGCGTACTCAGCGTACAGTAGATTGCCGCCTATCCGGAGCGAGGGCCGCCGTTACGGGATACCATAAGCGATCGATGCACCCCCTAGCCTCCATTGACGTTAACACGACGCCGAGGCGACTGTGTTGGTTGAGCGCGGAGAGAAAATTGCACAGTAGCTGCCGTTTTTCTTCTGCCAGTCTGTTCGGAATTCCGTTAAAAGTTTGCTCA